AGGCCCAGGCCTGCCCTGCAAAATTTCGGGCCACAGCTCGGCTCTCCGGTCGAAGCCGTTCGGGGGAATCCGGGCACCGCTGGAACGCTCTCGGCGGGTCGCAGCCGCTGGAGGGCATCCCCCAGGCTGGCCCACCGCCGAGAACCAACCGAAAGCCGAGTCCCCCCCTGAAAGGGGGCGCACCGTCCGCCGTGATCTCGACGTTCGGGCCCTTGCCGCACCTGTTGAGGCACGTCGAGGCGCACACCTGCGGTTGCCCCGAAAGTCGGGATGCGGCGTCGTCGGCGTCGTCGTCGTCGTCGTCGTTGTCGTCGTCGTCGTCGTCGGCGTCGGCGTCGTCGTCGTCGTCGTCGTCGTCGTCGTCGTCGTCGTCGTCGTCGTCGTTCCGTGCTCGGTCCGACGGCGCGCCGGCAGTGACGTCGGCGCCCCGCGGGGCACGACCCCAGGGTAGCCCCGGGGGGTGCGAGGACGGAATCGAGAACGGCGGTCCCGAGGCGGCCCCGAGAGCGGCGGCCTCGACGGAGCGCCGGCCCCGAGAGCGGTGGCCTGAGAACGGCCCAACCACGACAACAACGACAACCCCCTGGATTGTATCGAAGGTGGGTGTGGAGGATCGAGGGTGGGGGTATCAAGGGTCGAGGGTGGGGGATCGAGGATCGGGTTTGGTATCGAGGGTGGAGCATAGGGGGTGAAGGTCTGGGGTTGGAGGATCGAGGGTAGAATGATCCAGGATCGAGAACGACCCCTCCCCCCCCTGGCGCCGTCGGTTGGCGGCGCGCAAAAGGGGCAGGAAAAACAGGAACAAGGACTCTTGGAAGGAACTCGCATCGTAGAAAACACCAGCCTGACATCCATAACTCAACCCCGCGCCTTCTAAGAAACATGCGAATTTCTACAAATGCTCCCATGCTCCCCTCATACCCCCTTCTGCGCGTGGCCGAATCTGGGAACTAGCAAATCCTAAGCATTCCAAAGACGGCGCCGGCGCGATTCGTGACGTGACTGGTCCCGTCCACTTCCCCCCTCCGTCCCGTTACGCCCGTCATCGCCAGCGGATAACTAATGAACGGGTCTCCTGCACGAGTCGCTCACAAACATGCCATGTTTTGTTGTTTCAATGCGGGGTCCTCGGGAGTTCCGATCCTGAGTCCATCAGTCTTTCGAACCCTTCCCCCAACAGTGGAACCGACATATTTTCGACGCCCTTTTTGACGGACTGGGGCCCCACCAACAGGTGTTGGTTGTGGTGATGTTGTGGGAGCTGCTTGAACTGTTGGCGTTGCTTGAATGGCTGCCGATCCCGGGGCTGCTGTGGGCGGTGCTGCTTCCCCCGCTGCTGCCGCGCAGGCCGGTGACGCATTCGCCAGGCCCGTCGTTTGCGCGGCGCTCTTCCCGCGGCTCAGAAGTTCTGCCGTCTCCTGTCGTAGTCGTCGCAACTCGGCGTCGCCAGGTTTGGGAGAAGACGATGATGGGGATGACGTGCTCACCCATCGTGACCAAATGGCTGTGCCAAACCTTCTTACAAGACCCGCGCGACGACGCACTTGGAGTGGCTGCCGGTGCTGCTGGCCGCGGTGCTAATGCTGCTGGAGTCGTGTCCCTGCCGCTCCCGGAGTAAACGCGCTGCGTGGGATCGCTTTCCCCAGCGCCAGGGGCCGCAGGCTGCGGAGTCCTGGAGGTGCCCCTGAGCATCCACACTGCGTGCGCTCTTGGCACGGGCTGCTTCTCGGATGGACCTGGCGGGCCCTGTTGTCCCAGAAGCGCATGTCGTGGGGATGTCGGCGGTGTTGGTGGTAAATACTTGGGCGTAGGCGCCGAGGAAGAGAGCGCGCCTTTGGTTGCGGCGCCGGGGGCAGTCGCGCACGAGATGCTCTTCAGAGTCACGCTCGCGGCATTTGAGACACGCCCCGTCTGGGCCAACGAGGTTGCCTTGGCGGCCCGAACCCATGCCGCTAGCCCTGAACTTCACTTTCCCCTTACCGCTGCCCTTCCCGAAGCCCTCAAAAGTCTCCGGGAGGTCGTTTTCGGACACGTCGGCAGGAAGGCGCGGTGGCCTGTGCCTTGGCCCTTGCCCTTCGTTCGAGGACCTTCCACGCGCGACTCGCGGGAGTGCGGTTGTTGAAGCTGCGCCACGGTGTTTGGGCGCGCTCGCGCGCCTAGAAGAAGTGCGCACTGAGTTTTTTCCGCGGGAACGTCGCGCAACTCGAGGCCGTCTGCGGGAATTTCTTCGCCGAGTGATTTCGACGCCCGAACTGGGCACGGACAAAAATGGCCACCAAGCCCAACAACACACGTTGTCCAAAATCGACAGCGGCCGCTGCTGGGCAGGCGGCCTGTTGCCTCAAATGGACAACGCCCGCGGCGGCGCGGACAACGAGCCCTGTTCAAAATGAACGAACTACTGTCGAACATCGCACCCGTACTTTCCATGCCCATTTCGGTTGCACCGAAAAGAGCTGATGGCGTCTGCGCCGGTACCGAGCCGACACCTGTTGCTGGGAATGATGCCCCGTGCGCTGGTGATGCCGTGCTGGCGTCACCGACAACTGCTGGTGAAGGCGGGATCGGTGCCACTCTCATTGCAGATAGCCCGTGGCATCCCAGCTCGATTTGGCGACGGCACCACGAACGCACTGAACCTGATCTCGCGTGGACGCACCCGAAAACATGGCGCGACGTTGGGCAGAGCGGGCTGCCGAGGCGAGGTTGCCTGACGACCCCTCGATCATGCGCCCGAAACGCCGCAGTTGGCCCGCCATGCCCTTGAGCTGTGCTACATTCGTGGGGTCGGCCATGTTGTAGTGCGGCAAGATCATGGTCACTTGGATGTTCGACACTCCGACGACGCGCAGCAGGAAACTGAGACCCTCGTAGCCGACCATGAGTTGGCAAGCTTGGTGCGCACGGTTGGAGGATGTCGAACTGCGTGAAAGTTGTCGATGCGCTCTTGCGGCAGCTGGTCGAAGTTCATCAGTGCCAACACCGCCAGAGCGCGATCTTTCTCGCCCGATTGGCCCCTCCTTTTGGCCAAGCTGATCATTAGGAAGGTCACTGGTGGCACTGGGTTCCCGTTAATCAGTCCTCACTGGAACAGGACAAGTGGCGGTCATTCGTCCACGCACTCGCGTGTCATGCTAGCGAGGCGCGACGAGACGTCGGCCGCCTGGCGAAACTCGTTGAGGTCCGAGCTCGCCACTGACCAGATCATCGCCTTACCCGCCCACCTCTGGAAAAAGGGTACTCGAACTTGCTTCTCGGGCGCCCAGGTGCCGAGGCGTCCTATGTTGTTGCTGCCACCGCCTGCGTCCTTGCAGGGGATGCAACTGGTGATGGCAATCATGCCCACTCCGATGGCCCCCGACCCGGAGTGCATGTCCTTCCCTGCGTCGCGGAGGTGCTGGGGGTCGGAAATACACTGGCGGCGCTTTTCGGGAAGTGTGCCTCCGAGCCGCCGTGGACACTTGCCCCGGATTCGTCGCTACCGCGTGCGTATTGGTCGCATACTGCTGTCGTCCGGCGGTCGTGCTCTGGTTGTTCGGAGCATCCCGTGGCGCGATCAGGGGCACGCTGCTCGCGTGCCGCGATGTCACTGTGTTGAGCGCGGCTTTCTGCACGATCGTCAAGAGGAGAGCAAATCGGGACCAAGTCCTGCCAGGCTGCAAGGAATGTGCGGGCAAGGCGGACAATTATGTACCAAGAGGTCGAAGACGGGTTCTCCCATGTCCGCTTCGCTGTCCCCCGGAGTGCTAGTGACGCACTCGCCAGACCTCTTTTGTCTCCCTGCTCTTCTCTGCCTGTTCCTCCCAGAACACTCGTGGTGACACTTAAACCGACGCCGCCGAAGTGAACATTGCATCGAGCAGCTGTCCGACGTTTGTGGTAACCTGGTTGCCGGCACGCGGGCGCATCGAAGGCGTAGGGTCCGCGAGCTGTGATGACGCAGTCAGTACAAGCCTGGGACGGCGGATAATTGTCGTCACGGGCGGCGGCGCGGCTGGGGTCCGTGAAGGTCTCGCTCGTGTACTTCTAATGGTAGACGTCTCTTCCCCGTCACCGGTCCTGGCGGATAGGCTGGCGCTGCCCTGACAGGCCCGACAGTGATGTCTCGTGCCACGGCGATCGGGAAGATATGCATGAGAGCGAAACTGTGACCGAATGTAGAGCGGCACAATCACCTGGACGAAAAGCTGAATGTAGAGCGGCGTGCCGAGCTGGATGAACAACGACGTACAGAGCGGCGGAAAAAGGTGGAGCCATGGCCATCGAGGAGAGACGGGACATGGCAACCGTGGTACTGAAGCCGAAGTTCCGCTACCAACTAGAGAAATTCATGCATGGGGAAATGGGTGGCATGGGATCCTTTCTGATAGCGGTATGTACAGCAATCTGTAAAGCAAGGCTACTGGCGGGCGCGATGCCTGGCCAGGCTACGAGCGGCAGCGGAAGGCACAGGCAACACCCGGCAATGATGGGGTAAAAGAGGCTGGACAGGTACCGCTCGAATGGGAGGAAAAGGAGGAGGAAGAGGAGGAAGAGGAGGAGAGGAGGAGGAGGAGGACGGAGGAAAGGACGGAGGAATAGCAGGAAAAGGAGCCAGGAGGAGGGAGAAGGAAGCAGGAAAGAGGAATGAGGGAGCGGAAGGAGGAAGGATGGAGGCAGGAAGAGGAGGAGGAGGAGGAGGAGGGAGGAGGAATGAGAGACGAAAAGAAGAAGGAGACAGGGCCCTGGACGCTGCCGGCCGCCTCTGCCTCCGCGTGTGCGCTGCGCTCTCTCTCTCTCTCTCTCTCTCTCTCTCCCTGTATGTATATATATATATATATATATATATATGCGCACGAGGGCCTTCACGGCCCGAATGCGCCGCCCCCCCCTCATCTCCTCAAACTCATGCTTCTCCCTTCTCCTCCTTATCCCTCCTCCTCCGCCTCCTCCTCCTCCTCCCCGTTCTCCTCCTTCCTGTTCCTGCTGCCCGTCCCCCTCCGCCTCCTCCTCCTCCTCCTCCTGCCTTCCTCTCCTCCTTATCCCTCCTCCTCCGCCTCCTCCTCCTCCTCCCCGTTCTCCTCCTTCCTGTTCCTGCTGCCCGTCCTCCTCCGCCGCCTCCTCCTCCTCCGCTTCCTCCTCCGCCTCCTCCTCCTCCTCCGGCCCTTCCTCCGTAGCCGTTTTGGCCCAAGCAACAAGCAGCCCGGGGCGCGTGCCATGCCCACGTGGGCTCACGCTCGCCGTGGCACTCCCGGCTCCGTGCCCCCA